CAAACCCACCAGCCACTCCTCGGAAGGAAGGTTGGGCAATCCTACTTCCGTAGTGATACTGCCTCGGAAACCCAAGGAGGGGTCGCTATGAGTCGGGGCCGACTCGACGGCACATAACAACAACAACAACATACTCAAATTAATCTATATTCAATTTTATATTCAAATTAATCTACAAATTCAATGCAATTCTAGTGAACATCTCATTAATGTTTTTCACAGAACTTGACAAGCTGTTCCTAAAATTCACATGGAAGAGTGAAAGGTCAAATCAATTTTAGGAATAAGATCAACGTGAAGGGCATATATCGTTCTTTCAGATTTTAAAGCTTACCAAAATTAGTCATTAAAATAATATTTTTAGAGAAATAGGTAGACCAGAGGAACAAAATATGCAATCCTATATATATATGATAATGTTTAAAGAATAATACAAGTAGTAACTAAAACTTATAAATTCTTATTATATTAGTTACAGGTACTGCTTAGATGCTTAACATATTCTAATTCATTTATCCTCAAAGGTGATATTAAATTTTAGTCAGACAAGGACACCAAACCAACCCACAAAAACACACTGCCATCAAGTCAATTCCAACTCCGTGACCCAGAAGGCAGAGTAGAACTGCCCCATAGAATTTCCAATGCTGTAAATGTTTACAGAAGCAGATTGCCTCATCTTTCTCTCATGGAGCGGCTGGTGGGTTCAAACTGCTGACCTTTTGATTAGCAGCCTAATGCTTTATCCACAGCACCATCAGAACTCCTTGGACAAGGATGGATTTCAATAACAATAGCTTGGTAATTTAGTCAGTCATATGAGAGAAATAAAGTCAGATTTATTCCTCATACCAAACAGTGAAATAACAAGTATGTTAAGGATTTAAGTGCAAAGCAGGATTTCAAAATTTATTAAAGAAAATGTAGAAGAATATCTTTATGATCTTGAGAAGTTAAAATTTTCTGTGAAAGACTAGACCACAAACCACATGGCAAGTCACAAACCGAGAGGGAATATTTGTCACCACTACAACTCAGAAACCAAAACAACCAAAATCACTGCCACTGAGTCAATTCCTACTCATAGCAACCCCTAATGAGTTTGAACTGCTGACCTTCTTTCTGGTTAGCAAGCAGATGCCTTATCCACTATGCCACCAGAGCTCCTTACCACTATAACTAGCAAAGGATCATTATCTAAAATATATGAAGAAGAACTCCTTTAGCTTAATAAGAAAAAGACAACAAACCAATAGAAAAATGGACAATGGCTTTAAATGGACACTTTACAAAAAACGCAATCTGACAAGTAAAGATATACAAATTGAAACAAAGTGCCCCTTTACATCCATCAGATTGGCAAAAAGGTAAATCTGAGAGCAGGTGATGTTTCACAAGATGGGGTGACAGGCACAAGTGAAACATTATTGATTGGATGTAAAGTCACTATAGAAAGCAATCTGGCAATACCCACCACATATGAGCATACATGTACCAAACAGCTAGATAGCCACTCCCACATATCCACCCTAGATAAACGCTTAACAGAAGCACAAACAAAAACAAATAAACGTACATGGATGTTCATTGAATCACTTTAAATCAAAGTAGAAAATGTAGGAACAACCTGTCCATCAGTAGTGGTGAAATAAATATGCAAACAAAAACAAACAGCAGCTGGAAAGAATGAACCAGATAGACCTAAACATACAACTAAAACTAAAAATGTTGAGTGAAAAGAACAAGTTGCAAAAGGATATACTTCATGTAAATTGCAGATGTAATATACATGAGACATATATGGAAATTATACATGCCAACTCAGAAAGGTGGGCAAGGGTCGGGATGGGGTAGGAGAGGAATGGGCTTAGTTGTGTCTGTAATCATTTATTTGTTCATTAAAAATAGGGATTGTAAAGAAAGTGGCAAAATGCTGACATCTGTCAAAGCGGGGTATCAGTACAGGGATATTTATAAGAAAATTTTTCAAGCTTTCTGTATATAAAGCAGTTCATATTTAAAAGGAAGGAAGAAAGGGAGGAAGGGAGAAAAAGAGGAAAGAAGGAAGGACAAGGGAAAGAAAGAGGGAAAAGAGGACATCATGGCATGCATCATGGTCATGATAGTATTTGATTTGAAGAACTGTGTTGAGGACAGCTGGGAGAGTTGGATCCTCTGTCTCTTCCATAGGTGGACTGAACCCAGAATGCAGCAAGCGTTTCTTCTCTCAGGCCAGAGCCTCGCGGTTTTTCTCTAAAGGCTTGATCTGTAAGCGAGGTCTCCCGGTTAAGATTGGGGCTGTGAGAGGAAGAGAGCCGATGCTGAAGCAACTCTGGGTCTTTGGCAAAAGGTAAGAAGGGAAAAAAGGGTGGGGGTGGGGGTGGCGAGGAGAGGGGCAAGGAGCAAGCTACGTAATGAATTTCACTCTGGAGAAGTCTGGTTAAAGAAGGCAAGATTGAACACCTGCATGGATCTGCTCTCTCCCCACATCTCACCAAATGATAGTGAAGGAATGAAGAAGGTCAGGACTTGTAAGGAGAAGGTAGAAGAGGAGAGATGTCAATAAACGTGAGGCGGATGAAGGATTGTTACCGACTCAGCAATAAGATAAGGTGAAGCTTCCAGAGTTTGGAGCTCTGGTAGTATAGTGCCTAAGGCACTTGACTGCTAACCAGAAGGCTGACGGTTCAAACCTACCAGCCACTCCTCAGAAGG